ATATTTTTTCTGAAAGTTTTACTCCTTAAATATGAATCAACTGACAATCTGCTTTTAGTGTGCAGATATCTGAGTAATATGACATCCAACAGAAAACATTCTTATCCACGTGTTTTTTCCTCCAGTTAAATAACTATATCAGATAGTTCCAAATATAATACAGTACGCATACTTGAGTCGCTTGCTAGTGTTCAGTTAACTTGATAACATAGCCGAAGTAAACAATAAAATCAACCCATTAGTTAGAGATGAAAAGCGGAGTTTTGGCATAAATATCTTTCAATTGACATCATTACAATATAGTGCTAAATATCAATAGTAGAGAGTGGTAAAACGATCACCCTTATGAATCAAACATTTTCCAGACTTGTATATACGCGATTCTCTGTTCTTGCGAATAAATGGATGTTCAACGAAGACCTTCTGTCCACATCCACCAATCATGAAGGTGTCAGTGTTATTCATTCCAACATCATTTTCCATGAAAATCATCAATGCAGATTATTATTCTCAACAATTTAGCATATATTCCACTTAGTTCTTTTGAATAGCACATCTGCAACCAATTGGAAGACGTACATTGAAGCAACGATTAATTCACAGAGAATAACTACAAAATACATGGGAAGAACATCGACATCAGGTCGTCGAACTACAGACAAATATAAAGACACCGCAAAATTTTTCTTGAATAGTATCGGATGTAAATTGAAACCACTTTTATCAGGGTCAACAAACATGAAATTAGCCGTAATTATTTCATTTCCTGGAGGTAAAGTTTAAGCGCCCCATACTGTTTGGCAGATATTGTTTAGCTCTCGAATAGATTCATTATAAATTATAAATATATATATATTTTGATGACTAATAAAATCCGAATAAATCTGCTGAAAAAGCTGTGGCTTACACAGCTAAACGTTCAGAAAAATCTTGTTTTGATTTTCTTAACACGCTGGGATTAATTTAAATAATTTATAATGAATCAATCTGACTGGGCGCCCAAATTATTCCAGGAAGTTCGTAACACCTACGGCCTGGAAACGTAAAATCTTAAATAGATGATTAAGTGTTACTTCCGTGTATGAATAAAATATCACTCCGATAACTCAGAAATATATATCACGAAACTGTCAACAACACTATCGAAGAATCGAATGGTTTGTGCATAAAGCATATCCTAGTTTCAAACAAAGAACAACTTATCGAATCTTTTCACACTGGAAAGATTTTGTAAATCTTTGCCAATCGCAGATATGGAAAAGTAAATTCACATCATCATTGTCCAAGTAATCAGAGATAACCACAATGACCGACGGTTTTTCCCTGCCTCTTTCCTAAAATATTCTAAGCATTGTCGAGTTAGATATAACACCTATTAGATGAATAAATTTGAGGGACACTGAAAATCACTACAAACATTCGGTTAGATGACTTTTATTCAATTTATTCTATTCATCTATCCGTCAAGTAGTAAATAAAACCGAGATGCTCAAGTTACTTATTTTACTATGAAAAGACCTTATTTCCCATTTTTTTCAAATTAACAACACGTAGTTTTTTTCTATTCTACTGTATTTTGTTATAACGCTTTTATTGTTTCCGAATGTACTTGATCTTCCTTTCTGTTTCACACCTGTCTTGTATTGACTGTATTCATATGTCTAATCAGTTTTCACGCATGTATATAAACGAAGCAAGAAAGTTGTGTGAGTACCTTGATATGATCATAAGCAATAAATTGTGCCCGAATCAGTAAATATTACTGGAGAATCAACTGTTCTTCAGCATATACTCCATGCATTTTCCAACAGCCTGTTTCGCTTTTGAGAAACATTTCTGGCATTTCGTCTAATGATTCCTTTTTCAATCATCTTGCCTGTGATTTGATAACTTGACTAATTATTATTATGACTATTTCAATTAATAAATTACAAATTGCATTGGAAACTATTTATTGATTTAAATTGAAGCGTTGTTGAGGATATAACTGAAAAGTCACTTCCTATTTGTTTTCCAAATTTTGATAACGTATGGAGAATCGTGAACAAGTACGAAGCAGTTGTCCAGTACTCATTGGACTTGAATGGTTCTCAAAATGAAAACATATCTTGACTGACATATCTGTTGATAATTAAACAATGTATTCGTCAGACCAGCAAAGGTAACATGAACTGACATACAGATACACCATGTGCAAGTTACTGAACTGGAACCCCAATAACTGCCAAGCTGCTTGACATCTAATGCCGCATGGTGGCGACAATGCAGTAGAGGAACGAAGCACGTGTGTAATATTGAGTCCAGTTGAAAATAATAGTAGGTTACTACGTGGAATGGAGGTGTGATGCTGAGTCTGGGTGCTAATAGATGGTTGGAGGCGATCGGCGGGAAGCCTTGAACCTGGGTATCGTGCTAGTTAGTACTCATCAGCAAGGCGTATCTGCAACCTTGAAGGAACTCATGTCTCTTCTGAGATTCGAACCCGCGTCACTGGATGCACTCTAATTGGCAATTATTTGTCAACTCTGCCTGCGACATTTCTGCCTACTTTCACAACCATTGCACGACTGTGTATTAATTAACCATGTGAACACACTTATCTATGTTATTGGTTTATTTCTTATTTAAGGAGTATCCTACGGTGCCAGGTGCCACACTGGTTATGTCGTTGAAATACTGTCTGACGCAGCCGCACGATTTTAACAGAGCTTTTTTTCTTATTTTTGTCATTTAAAGCATCGACTTGTCAATTTGTTTATCTGAATAACAATAGAGAACGAAACTTTGCTGTGAAGAATCGTTGAAATATACCTGAAACACAAGGTGATATTTAATTGTTACATATGCCTCATAATAAGGTGCAGATCAGACACAGTGTTTCATCCTTCATGACACTTTAAAGTAGTTATAACAATATTAATAGTCATCTCACATCTCTAAGTGAACGACTAATTCTTCAAAACTACTGACTTGTCTAATAAATGATTGCATTCAAGTCACATTGTTCCCACATGGATAAAACTTTGTCAAGTTTGGAAGATTTAGCGACTTAATCTACTGGTCTGAAGAATTTCATCAAATGGGAGTATGACAGAAGCATTCCACTTCTCTATGTGTAAGCTTTACTCAGATTTCTTAAGAATTACTGTCACCTAGTTACAACTAATTTCCATCTACTCAGTGTTTATTCATCAAATGACTGAAAGGTTCATCGCACGAAAAGCAATATTTCGGAAACTACAACACATATCGAATAAGCCCTTATAAATACATGTGGTTTTAACTGTCACATTTCAACACTTTGTACGAAATCAAACACGATCTCTTCCATTTCATTAAATGTATAACATAATTTACAATAGAGAACCTTCATTTATATAAGTAATTAACACATACGTTATATCAGTGAAATCAGATGAAATGGAAAACAGTAGTGAAATGTAATCGACTTTACAGTTCACGTGTGCCAATGTATTCGTGTAATGTATTTTTCTACGGGATTCAGAGTTTCTGAATGGATTTGCCAAATTCAAAATTTCACTTAACGCATAATGCTTGTTTACTTTTATTGTGAGCATCAGGCTGCAAATAAAGAAAAGTAACTTTCATCTATACATATTCGTTTAAAATACGATGAGTGAATATGTGGCGAATATTAATTGAACTTTACACAACAAACAATGGAGTTTGAGAATGAAACTACAAAAACTGATATATCTTAAGTGATTCCGTTTCGTTCTATTTGTGAAGCAGACTCAAACACGAAAATTGCTTAATGGTCTTGATCCCGCTACTTTATTAGACATAATATATCATAAAGCTTCATTAGGAAGTGAGACGTTTGTTGAAGTCGTACGGGTATCCTGGTTTCTTTTTACTCTTCAAAGTCTTGTTGGAGCTCAGAATCGAGATACTGCCCATCAACGTCTGGTTGCGTTTTAACAAGATAGTTCCCAGCTGTACTTCAATGCCTGGCCAAGCATTTGATCCATCCTCTCTTTTTTAGCTGGAAATGATGACCCTGGACCCTGAAATCCATTATTTTCAGTCTTCATTCATATGTACAGTGATCGAAAATTATTGTGAATAATTAGCTTGTAAGAATAACCTTACCTTCTTCTGGTTTCCGTTTAGCGAACTCACGACAAATGAAATCGTGCTACCACTTGTCCATGATATGAGACAAAATATGAAGCAGATATATCTTATAAAACTTGTTCGAGTTTATCGATCCCAGGGGAGTTCGGTTACAACAAGCATAAGCATCATATTGTACACAATAATTGTTGATGGCTTTTTAAATTAAATTTAACTTTGAATTCGACTTTAGATTTTCCCATCGATCAATTGAACCGATGTGCTTGATCTCAGGTTTGCAATAAGTTCGAACCTCGGTGGGAACATAACCACTCACTGCGGAATGCAGGTACATCCAGATGGCAGGTCCCAAAAAGGACGAAATGCGCATACTGGATTCCACTGCTAGTCACCATCCACCAATAAACTTCTTACATTTAACTGTGTTTTTTGTTTAAATTGTTACCGATTCATTTCACAACAAAAGAAACAACTCGAGTGTGTCAAGTTGTGGTGACACTGGATGTGAACCATTCTACTTTAAGGTGAAATGTCTGGCTTTTGAAGTCAGAATATTTTAATCGATTTCTCTCCGGGACAGACACATAACCACAATAGCTTTTTTACAGTTGTAACAATATACTGAAATAGTGCAAATTCATCCTACAGTGGCAGCTAAACTGCGAGCAAATTTATCTTTCATGGCAAATGGATTGAGCCTAACCAACTTGTTCCTTAATATTTCAATTGCAATAACCTCAATAAAAACCTTTGTTTTCACTTGATCAATATTATATGCAAGTTCATTCTCCACAATGACAACTGCTGCAGTTAGAATCTTTCTTAATCAGTGAGTTCAAAACACAAACAAACGCACATATTATGTATGCGATACATAAAATCAGCAATGAAACACTTCAAAGTCATTTAAAAAGCGTTACCTCACGTTCTTCTGGCTTCTTTTCATCATCCTCCTTTTTTGGAGGTAATGTCAACAAGTAAATAGCTGAGAATAAGAGAGTAATGAAAATCCAGAAAAAGAACGCTTGATTCATTGCAAAACAGAATATATGTGGATTACCCACACAGCAGCGTATTGTGTTTCCAAGAAGGAACAAACCCTGTAAATAGGAAACAATTTTAAAGCATTATTGTTAAGCCCAATCTAAAAGACTGATATAGGATAAAAACTCAATTGATGTGCAAATCACGAATGAGACCTTTGTATTTGAGCTGATTTACGGAAATAACGCCACTCATTCGAATTGTTTCAATGGCAAGTATTATTTATATTAATTGCATTCACACGTCTCATTAAGTAGTTTTTCATGTATCACGATTTATGAGGCCACATAGATGATGCGTTTTGATTTTCAAATGGAAAAGTGAGTGTTTTCGAACAAAAATCAAATGACTCAATCTGACATTATGATCAAGATTACACAGAAGAAATCCTGTGTATCTAGCTAATGTTGCAAAGAGACACTTCCTCTTTAGCACTGTAAATAAAAGATGCGTGCGTCGGTGGAACAGCGGTAATCTGGTCACCGACAACTCATGTGGTCCGAGGTGCAGTTCCCGGCAGGTGCACTCCTATACATCGCCAAGCCAGTATTAAGTCTGTTGAATAAGGAAGGTTAAACATGGGGCTGGCAAAAAAATCCCATAAAAATGAAAACCACTGTTACCAAAACTTCAAAGCTACAACTAGAAGCCATTAAAAATACAAGATCCGTGTTCAATTTACTTGAACATTCTGTATACCAGTGGTGAGATTAGTAACCTCTTGACACTCTTAGAAACACTTCGAAACAGAAAACTTAGCACGCGTAAAACTTCACGTTTTTCTACTAATCTCAAATCTCTTCAGAGATGAAGTGCACAAGTCGTTCCGTATGTCGTATCCAAAATCATTGCTGAGTATTATTACATTTGCTTCTAAAGTGACTAAATTTATTTGGAGAGACTTGACTAATATGAAAACGCAACGTCACTCTGTCTGAAGACATAATAAGCTCAAGGGGAAATTTTATCCGCTTATGGTAAACACCTGCATCCGATGAATCATTGAAATGGCAGAAATAGGTGTAAACAGGGGAGTTTGTGCATGTAAACAAAATTTCTGGGACCCTAGCTTCCATCTCAATTTTAATCACAACCCATTTGTAATGTTTTCAACGTATTAGTGTTCACTGAGACAACTGTCCTTGCGGTATTGTTCACAGTGTGGAGTCAATGACTATGCGATACTCAACTTAATTATTATCACTGTCTCACAACCGTGCTCATCTAACTTATTTCATGATCCGAATCATTCTATGAGTAACTATTACAATCTTTAATCTTAAAAAAGCCTATTTATTTTCTGTTTTTTATTCCATTTGTATATCCACTCCTTATAACTTTGATAGTGACCATTATTTTCATTCTGAGTAATTTCCGTTATTATCTCACTTGTTAACTTTATTTACTTAATTCTATGTAATCATCTCCAGTGTTGTCTCATTATAATCCCACTTATTGCGTAAAGCATTTGTTGGCTACTGATCATAATAATACTACAAACCCTTTTCTATAGTTTACAAATTCCATGAACTTTATCATGAAATACATGGCACATGTGGTTACTCGTTGTTTAACTATTCATTTCATTCATAACTGATATAATATTGAATAGCTTGATAAGAAAATTGCTAAGAAAACGTTTTCTCTGAGTCACTTATTTTGATTTTCGAGGCGAGAAACCAACCAATGAAATAGATCGCAGGTAAAAACACCACTTGAACTCACAAACATTGCACCGAAACAGAGGCACAGTTCGCTCACAGCTTCCTAGAATTATTTGAAAATGAAAAGACAAAATATTGACTTAATTGAAGATATATGGTCCATAAACACTACTATTGGTTTCTATGGATTTTACTGAATTTAATGATGATCAAGAGCTGACTCCAGTTGGAGAACCACTTAAATCTAGGAAATGCCCTAATCATGTTTTTCTTAGTTTAGGAATGTTTAGAGCCTAGCATGTATGGCACTACCTGAAGTCGAATATGGGAGAGTACCAGTTAAGAGGGAATTAGTTCCTTACTACTCCTTGGTATTCAGTGGTTTTCTGAGTGATATTAGTATCTGACTAATTTTGAAACCTTTCAATCCTTGCAAACCAGTGTCTGAAAATTACTTAAAATAATCTCAGGGTATTTCGGAAATCAAAACTAGAACCTTCTGTTTTCACAACGTCCGATTTGACTGAATCATGATGAAATTGCATAGAAAATCACTGATTCACTCTGATTAATTCCTAAAATCATCCTAACAAATTCACAGCATCTTATGTTTAACCAGTTCAAACATGATGGTCAATCTACTGCTGACAATCGACGTCTTGCATACGGTTAAATGATGAACTACCTACAATGGAATAACTTCACAATTAGCGCACCCTTATCATTGCGTAACTGTGTCTTATAGAAATTTCCAAAAACCAAGTCGCTTATCGAATTGATAAACTGTATTACACACACTCATTTAATTTTCAGTAGAAAGGATGGAACACTAATCACCACACAGCAATAAAGCACAAAACGATTGTCAAATTACAAAATTTGACGGCTCCATCAAACTCAACTGTTTCGTTTGTGGATTTGGTTCAATAAATTCTCGTGGCATTAGTGTGACCACAAAGTCTCAGTTATATTCACCTGACATTGACAAAATGCTCATTCAAGCACATAATGAAAACAGTAAGAACTCACAGAGAATGGAACATCCAGAACGGAGAGAAGCATGGATAGGAGTCCTATGAATACAATGAGCACTGCAAGAAATACGACTGCCGTAAACGCTGTTAAATCTAAGCGTTTCAGATTGACAGCGATTAACACGACTGCAGCAGCTAGCGCTAGAGCCACATTCAAAATTATAAAAATATTGAGAGCAACGAATTTATGAAAAACACAACAGTATGCGATGGATATGAGTAGCACCTGTAAAATCGATTGGAATGAAGTAAACGTAACTATCAGTAATAGGAATAAGATGAGCATCATTAATATACAAAACAATTTTATATGTACCTGTTCTCTTATGTCATATGAATATCACCAGTGTGGAATCCACTACCAACTCACTTGCATTACATGTTTGAATACGCGCTCAGTGAGACTATAAGTGACATCACTTGCCAAGTTTGCTGGAGAAAGTTGCATGAGAACCAGTAAGTTGCACCATTGTGTGTGATGCAGATATTATCAAATGATTAGGGATTGATAGCTTCCGGTCAGTGAAATGTGGTTGCAGTGCAGATGAGCTGATTAGACTAAGTGTCAGTAAAACGTTTGAGCATTGTGGAATCGAACAAATAAAAGTATAATCATATTTCCATGGTTTATACAGAATAATAAGTTTTTGTTTTTATTAATATTTCGAGCAAAATTACTACCCGTGTTCAGAGCAACTCTTGGAATCTAATTGATGCAATCGGCGGGAACATCTAAAATTCACTTAAACTTTTGGAGTTGGTTTTTTTAATTCACACATTTATAATTTGTATTCATACATATTGTTTATTTTTCGTTTCTTCATTTTTGTGTATTCAGAATTATATTTCAGGTTGTTGACAGTTGTGCTGAGTCACCCTTGTTACATGTATCCCGTTTGACCTTAATAAATATCGATTCTGTTATAAGTCTTTCATTCTTTTATTGTCAGTAAAAAGTTTGAGGATTGTGGAATTGAAAAAGTAAAAGTATTATCATATTTCAATGGTTTATACAGAATAATGTTTTTGTTTTTAGAAATAATTCGACCAAAGATACTGCCCGTGTTCACACCACTGTTGGAAATATTTTGTTCATATTAGTTTTTAGAAAACACACATTGTTCCAGTCGATATTGTGGTTTTTGTCTCATGCATGCACAGCTACAGGTGAATTCCTTTTATATTGTTGCAAGCTTGTGTTCCTGTTGAATGACCTTAAGTTAGGCATTAATGTTCATTGATTCTCGTTCTGAGCGATCCGGATGTTTCACCCCATATTTAGCCAGACACTCGGCACAAGATATCTGTTTGTGTATTGAGTTATTTTTATCTATCATTTTTATGGGAACTTCTATTTGATTTATCTAATTTTAATCAGATTTGTCGGTTAAAACGTTGTGCGAATCCCAATAATTTTGAGGTTCTCCGAAGTGCCTCTGATGCACCATTTTGTATGGTACTGTGATCGATTTTCACCTTCCTCCTTCTAGTTATTCTGTGGTTTCACCCTCATTTTTCTCCTCGTTATATTATCTTGGATAAGTTCTTTTGGGTAGTTGTTGTCGAGTTGCATTTTGAATAAGACGATTATTTCTCTAGGCTGGTCGTTTGATGTTTATGTATGTCAACGTCTTTTTCTGCAAAAACTTGTATTAATTCTCGCTTTACCTTGGGTAGATGAGCTGAGTGATAATCAAGGAATCTCCGAGAATGTGCACTTTTTCGAAATAGCGTCGTTTTCACGGTACACTCTGTTATTCTTTGTACTTCGCAGTCTGAAATAGTTTTCCGATTTCATTCTTTATTTCCATAGTGAATTTTACTGAGTCAACATGACTGTTTATGTGCTAGAACAATTTCTCAACATCGTTTTTTTCATGATTACTGACATTGATGACGTGAATGATTTAAGTGTATTCTCTTCCCAAATACCCATGAACATGTCACCTGTCATTGGTTAGATGGGTGATCCAATGGCTATTCCTTCATCCCATTGGTATGTCTTCCCTTCAAATGTAAAATATGTTGTTGTCAGACAGAATTCCACGCCTTGTATTATCTCTTCTGTCTTTTAGACCATTATCTTCTTTAAGTCTCATTTTCAGTGCACTCATGACCATTTGAATGGGTATTTTAGTATGAAGACTGTTTAAATCAAAGCTGACTACTATTTCCTCTTCCTCTGTTTTTGGTGGATTTTAGTCGTCTCACTAATTCAAATGAAGCCTACTATTCTAGCTTTCGAGTTGTCTACTGTCGGTTTTAGTATTGTTGACAGAAATCTTGACAGCATACAAGTTGATGCTTTTTTTAACTCTACAATCGGTCATATTGGATATCCTTCTTTATGCAATTTTA